TGGACTTGAGCCTTCTGACTTGAGGTGACTTGATAATTTAATTCAGAGGTCTCCAACACGCCGATCGCGAGCTGCCGCTAGAAGAGCAGACTCCCGTCGGGGAGAGCAGAATCTTCAGCCGCTGCAACTCTTGCTGAGGATCCATGCAGGCAGGGGCGGGTCTTTATTTTGCTGAGCCACCATGCGGCCAATCATATGCGAGGACACACTAGGATCATACCATTATGTGAAAGAAGGGTGGGGGGCAGACGCTCCAAAGACAGCAGGTGTAGTGGTACAGGCCAGCTACACAGAGCCACGGGGAGACGGATTTAAATGCAAGCGCGTCGGAAAAAGTCAAGAAATTTGCGAAAACCGAAAAGCATCTGGCTGCATTTCAATGATATTGGAGAAAGCAAAGCTGAGTGCAGGATTTGTAAAATGAAAATAACCTTCAGAGCAGGGTTTTTTTTTTGGTAACCACTCAGGATTTATTGCCAGAGGTGGGAGAAGTTCAGATCTTGTACTTGAGTAACAGTACCAGAGTGTAGGAATACTCGGTTACAATAAAAGATCCTGCATTGAAAATGTTACAAGTAAAAGTACAAAAGTATTAGCATCAAAATACAGTTAAAGTACCACCTGCAGAGGGATCTAGATTCAGGTGTTCTTTTCCCCATAGAGACGCCTCGCTGCACATTATCCCTTGCATAAAGATAGATTGTGGGTCCCTTATAACATGCTGTACACAGTGGAAATAAACATTCTGGTCACCTCGACATCAGGGATCTTATCCATTAAACTCCTTCTGAATCAAACCGTCACGGTAGCCTAACCTTACTGATCCCTCTTACAATAGAAGACAAACACGTTACTTTACCAGCAGAGAGAAAATAGATTATTACAGTATTAATGTGACTAATAAAGAGCAGTTTGATTATTAAGTATTATTCTGTTGATCGATGTCATTACATTTGTTGAAAAGCACATAAGGACTTGTTTAAGACTCGTTTTGTCAAAGTTTAGGACTTGGACTTGACTTGAACTTGCCCATCCTGACTTGAGACTTGACTTGGACTTGAGCGCAAAGACTTGAGACTTGACTCGGACTTGAGCGCAAAGACTTGAGACTTGACTCGGACTTGAGCGCAAAGACTTGAGACTTGACTCGGACTTGCAAAACAATGACTTGGTCCCACCTCTGCTAGATTGTGCTGCTGTAATGGAATAAGTATACAAGGAGAATAAGAACATACCATGTGGTCCAGCTGGAGTCTCCTCTGCCTCCTGATCCCTGCCTCTGGCCCTCTTTATGACACTTCTTCTTTATTCCTCACATACATTTCTTCTTCTTCACTAATGTATTCATCTCCTCCTCTTCCTCCTGCTCTGACCCTCCTGGTCTCTTCATCTCCTCCTCTTCCTCCTGCTCTGACCCTCCTGGTCTCTTCAGTGTACTCTCTTTTCCTCTTTCTGTTCATCCTGATCACTTCTCAGATATGTCTTTGTGTTGTTGTTGAATCACTCCAGCTACTCTGGCCTGCAAGAGTCTACTTGTGAAAAGCTCTGGTACAAATGCTTGTATAACTTTACATGATAGGGCCATGTAGCTAATAAGTAGCATAGTCCCAGCAGCTTCTACTGAAGCCAGTCCCCAACTCCGGGGACTTCCGGCCGGGGACTCCGGGTGGCAGTATACACCGTGAAGTTGTTTGCGGCCTGCCAGTAAACCCAAAGCAGAAGAAGACAAAGTGACGTCAGTGGCTCATTTGCGTAATCTTCCCTCAGGGAACTTATTCCGGTGTGAACGCGATCTGTACTAAGTGCCCTGGGGTAATAAGTGCCGGGGCACTGAGTGCCGGCACTAAATACGGCAAAGTACTTGGTGTGAACGCGGCTAATGCCACTGGTATTGTTTGCGCTGCAGCCTGCAACATGATTCTATGTGATGACAATGTGCTGCCCTCTGTTTGTGTTTCTGCATTCACACTGAGCAACATGAGATACATTGTGTCCCTCATGTTCAGCTTCATATCAGTATGTAGTGTCTCTACTGGGACATGTCTCCATGCTTTAATGTTCAAAAAGCTCTTTATTTTTCTCATACTGCCTGTGCTGCAGCACCTCTTTTCACCCTCTGTCTGAAACCAGAGCCCAGTCTGCTCTGATTGGTTAGCTGGCCGGCTCTGTTGTGATTGGTCAACAGCCTAGAGATGACCCGCCTCTTAGCCTATAACGTACACTGTGTTATGGCGCTAGCCAATAGAAGCGTGAATGTTACATAGTGATGTCACAATGTTACAGAAATAAACAAAGGAGTCCAATAGAGGCGTCTCAGACGGGGGGGAGTGTGTGGGACCATTTACATGTACATGAACCTACAAAAAAACCCTAAAAGAAAGGGAATAATCTATGCCTCTTCAAAATATGTGAAGGTAACCAATACATTCATTTGCTAACAGTGGACCGGCATGCCAGAACAGTACAACTTGATCATAATAGCCGAAGCTGCTCTACTCACGTCCCCCCCCAGTGAGGGCTGCAGGTCGCACTCTGCAGTGGGGCTCAGGTCCTGCCTCATGACCCAAATCGGCTCCTTGGGCTCGTCAGGAGTGTACGGGGATCTCACGGTCCTGGTCTTCACCTCCTCTATTGCCTCCTTAATGTCCTTGATTGCCAGGGAGATGGCGTCCCTCTTGTCCTGGCTGTTCCTCACTGCGACCGGCTCCTCTGAAGGACTTACACACTGAGTCATGTCTGTCCCTGTGTTGGCAGCTTGGTGGTTTTTGTCAGAGTCGATCTGAGACTCATCTTGGGCTTTTTCCTCTCCTTCCAGTAGCTCATTTTCTTCATCTATGGTGTCTTCAAGAGCACGATGAAGACTCTGAGAGCTCAGGCTTTCTTTCACCTCAGCCACGATGGTGTCGATGTCCTCGTCCTGGTCGCAGCTGTCGGCGCGCGGGTACGGGGCGAACTCGGCCTCCTTCTCCGGGCTGTCTGACTCGCCGTCCGAGCGTTCGTCGTAGTGCCGCAGACGGGAGCCCACCGCTTCCTGCTGATGGTAGTCTCCCCCTGCCGCCCGACCCTCGAACAGTTTGAAGCCGGCACGCCTCTGCAGGAGCGACTCTGTGTCCTCTGCCCCGTCCGCAGCAGATGAAACTGATGTGGGAGTATCGCAGATCTCCTCGTAAACATGCTCTGAGAGTGAGTATATGTCATATGGCTCGGAGTAGGCTTCGTCCCCGAGAGCAGCGTCCAAACTCTCCAGGCTCTGACCGTCCGACACGTCGCCCCTCCCACTGGAGGGGCTGAGGGGCTGGGTGTAGACGTAGTTGGAGTAGCCGGCGTGCAGCATCTCCTCGGCTTCACCCTGTCTCTGGGGGCTTTCGACCTCAGGCAGGGGTTCAGGTGGCTGAGGGGGGGAATGAGGATGGAGATGTTGCTGCTCAGCCTCGGCACTCTCAGTGTACCCCTCCGCCTCAGGCCTCAGCTGGACCTCGTAGTTCCCGGCGTCGTCCTCGGCCTCTGCCTGCCCCTCCAGCTCCAGAGACATCACCAGCAGGCCGTCGTCGCCCTCGGCCCGGTCTGTGTGGGTGTGGAAGTTGCTCTCGGTGCTGGCTGAGCGGGCCAGCGCTGAATCGTCTCGCTCCCGCTCGTCCTCCTGGCTCCTCTGGGCGCGCCGCTGCTTCTCGTGCTGGGCCAGGTGTTGCGTTCGCTCCGCCTCCCTCTGCTGCCTCTGCCGGTGCCTCTGCTGCTGGGCTCTGACCCGGGCCTCGCTGTCCCCCTGTCTGCGGTACCGTGTCACTGCGGGTCGGGGGATGGGCTGGGGCTGTGGAGGCTCCTCTGTCTCCTCCTGTGGCCCCCTGTGCTGCTGAGGCCCCCTCACTCTGCTCCCAGCACCTCCTCCTGCAGGGGCCTCAACGCGCCTGTAGCGTTTTTCCTGGTTGCTGTGGTTACGGGACCGGCTGTTGTGGTTGTTGTGGCGGTGGCGGGGGGGGGGCGTCGGCCTCCTCCATAACCTCCTGGCCGAGCTCCGTCTCCTGGGGGTTCATGGCTGTCTGGTCCTGGTCCGTGGAGCTGTGTCAGTGTGAGGGTTCAGTCCCTCATCAGCAGGAGAGTCTGGAGGTCAGAGCAAAGGCTTCTGGGAAGAGCCTGAGAGAGGTAGTCAAAAAAGGTGGGTAAACAGAAGGGGACACATTAAAGTAACATGTATTGTTGTTTCTGGGTGTGGTGTGATTTTGAATTAGTGCGAATGCTGTTTACAGCATTCCACTATAGTTCTTCAAATCTTTAATCTTCCTCTTCTTATTTCAACCAATACTTTGGCTCTCAATAACTTCAGCATCAAATATCAAACTATTCAGCATTTTCAGCACATGATGGGAAATGTTCCACTTTTTCAAAATATTTTATACTTTTTGAAATATTCAGCTTTTTAAACTCTTTTTTTTAAACATGGAACTCAATGGGAGGAACCTTCAAATCCTCTTTTACCTACACCGTGTGGAAAATGCTACTCCTTCCACATACTTTCAGACTTCATTCCAACTAGACTAGACATTCAGCTATTAAAATCTTATTCAGATTGTTTATATCTTTTACACTTTTTGAGATATTTAACTTAGTTTGGACCTTGGTAAAGAGGCCTTCTTCAAATTGTAACATGAGTGTGTGTTGCGCAGCTCGTTAAGTCTAGAGTGCGTGATGTCACAGCTAGAGTGGAGGAGAGCTTGAAATTCGCCTTAAATTATTGACAAAAACTTTCAACATGTCTCCATTAAGGCCCATTGTAAATCAAGCCTGATCTGTCCTCAGAGCAGCAGCTGCACACCTTTAGTAAATCTGCCAAAAATGCCACATTATGGACCCGAAAGTACACAAAAAGCAGATTCCGACGCTCCTCACGGTCCTGACATCCTCCACGCGTTGACATTTTACGAAAGCAGCTACCGTTTTTAAACTATAGTTAGAAATGTAAGAGGTTTATTTCTCATTCAGAACAATGGAAAGGCTCTCCTTTCACAGCACATCTCCATGGAAACCTTTGATCTCTGGGCTCACGTACACAGGTGTTTGATAACGTCGTCACCATGGTAACCTTTGATCTCTGGGCTCACACACAGGTGTTATGATTAGGTGTTATGATTAGGTGCTCAGCACAGAAACAAACACTGACAAACAGACTGGAGTGTAAAGACTGTCTCAGCCTATTATTTTCTGTCCGATGGAGACTTCATACTGACTTCAACACGTTCCACATATTTTATACATTATTGGTGATGTATGGTTTTAGTTCAAAAGTTTGCAGTTAAAATATTCTGCTGCTTTTCAAAGCGTTTTTACTTTCTTTTCTCTTCTTAATACACATTCATTCACTACTACTTACATTTAATATTTTACTCCTTCAGCCTACTTTCAGTTACAGAAACTATTCAACTATTAAATTATTCAGCTATTTCAGGACATTGAGGCTATACATTTAGTTGTTTATACCTTTTTTTTAAACCTTTTCATTTGACTACTCTTCCAGTTTAACATTTCACTTTCAAGTTTTCAACAAAGTCATTGCAATGCATTTGAGCTGTAACAATTTGGATTCAAATCATTTCACTTTTCTGCATTTCTCCGCTAAGTTCAGCAACACACTGACTTGGTTTCTGTTGCTAAAAGCAGCTACCATTCAGCTAATAACATATTCTGCTTTTTCTGCATTTTCAGCTAAATTCAGCCACAAATGTTCACAGTTTACAGCATTCGCACGCATTTTCTGCAGGAAATGCATTTTCTAGTTCCCTTTAGAGACCGAATAAATCATTCATAAACAAGTTTGTCTTTTGTTATATTGAATAAAGTAATAAAGAAAGTAAAAATACAAATCGATCTAAAATTGTAGGAACAAAGCAACTTCCCCACAAGTGGATAAAGAAGATGAACACCCCATCATTTACAAGAAAGCAAGCAGCCAACCATACCCATAAATTATCTTAGACATAATCTAAACATTCCCATCATTAAACTATAAAACCCTCCACACTGAAAGAACTGAAACGGATACATTTCCCATACATGTATTAGTTTGTGAGCAGAAAGACAAAAGTGCGTAGGTTGATCAGCGATAAGAAACTGAATGGACGGAATCTACATTAAGGAGCATGACAAAACGGAACACGGACATCACATCAAATTAAAGCAACATGGACCAGGGACTGCAAGATATTCATCAAGAGCAATGAAGGAAAAGTGTTACTTGTGAAAGACAGTGGGGACTTATCCAGATATTAACAATGTCTACATGTCTGCCTCTGCCCCAAGACATTCTGAAGTCCGACAATAATAAGGATACCTCTTGCACTATTATTGGTTAAGTAACCATAAGTAACCCACGTTTACCAATGCGCTATTAGTCTTCACTGCAGCACCACAAGGACATGCTGAGATATGGGTTAGTGTACCATTCTATCTGTAAGGCATTCAAAATGTATGAAAATAAATAAGAATAAGAATAAAAACGAATCAAACTACAATACATCTTACTTTGGTTAGAAAGAGAAGATCTTCATATGCCTCTTTTACCACCTCTTACACCAATGTGCAATAATGTAAAAAACAAACAAAGACGATGACACCACAGCAACATGTGCAATATGTTCTGCTAATATTATTATTACTACTGGCTGCTACTCCTAGTTAGTCCATCACTTGTAACAGGGATCTTTACGTAAATATATAGTAATTTTACTACTGTTATATATCACCCTTCATTCTACAATGCTACACTTATTTTATTTCAAAAATACTGTTGCTACTTACTTATCTACCTGAATCTGTTTCTGTTCAAATGAAATGTTTTTTTCTCATTTTAAATGCTATGTGCATGCTTTTTATATAACAGTGTTCTATTTTCTTCATCTATACTTTGCTGTAACAACGTAGATTTCCAGTAACAGTATAAAGCCACAGCAGTGACCCCTAGAGGCCGACATCTTCATTACACTCTAAAAGATGGATAAACCAACAAAGGCACTCACTTGTGTTCACGGGCAACACGACCATGACATTTCCATGGTCGTTAAAGACATTACAAGGATCAAAAACAAACTGTTGACTCTGAACAAACTGTTGACTCTGAACAAACTGTTGACTCTGAACAAACTGTTGTCCATCATGGAAACCCCATGTTTACATTTTGTGAGTTTGAAAGGCTGGACAAGCATAATGTACACTGCCTTCTATTCTGTGTATTGTATATTTATATTGCGTATTCAATATATATCTATATACCATATAGATATATGTCCTTCATTATTGATATGTATATATTAACTGTTTTGCGTTTTTTGTTTATCTTCTACTGCTGATATGTATATCTTTATTTTTAATTGTATTTACCTCTAATTCTAGTGCAATGTCTTATCTACATGCTGCAGTGACAAAGATGTTTCCCAAATTGGGATCAATCAATTATAGCGTATCTTATCTTTTTATCCTATTTCCTTTTCCTGTTCCTGTTAATTTAGACAAAATACCAGGGGCCTCAATTATAAATATTGCGTACGCCAATTTATAAGCAAAGTTGACGGGAAAGTGTGCGGTCAGGAAGAAATTAGAAACGACCACACCGATGGCAGAAAGACGAGTGAATCCCTCCTCACCAGTGGTCTAAAGAAACTAAGTACTCAAGTACTGTACTTAAGTACAATTTTGAAGTATTTGTACTTGACTTGAGTATTTCCATTTTTTGCTTTTTTATTCTTTTTTATTCTTTATGCTTCTACTCCACCACAATTCAGAGGTAAATGGTGTACTTTTACTCCACTACATGTATTTAATACCTTTAGTTACTTCACAGATTTGGACTAATGATGTGAAATATAACCAAGTGTTAAATCAGACTTTAGTTCCACCTGGAGTAAATTCACAAGCTACCCTGCAGTATACAAAGTCATTCAAACTAGCTGCAACTTTACCAGCTTTGAGAACACTTTCATGATCAATAATTATAAAACATATCATATATATTATTCTGGAATGGACCAATCTGCACAATGACTACTTTTACTTTTGGTACTTTAACTATATTTAGATGCTAATACTTTTGTTCTTTTACTAGAGTAACATTTTTAATGCAGGACTTTCACTGTAACAGAGTATTCCTACACTCCGGTATTATTTTTTTTACTCAAGTACAAGATCTGAGTACTTTTCCCACCTCTGCCTACAGTGGACTATTTACAGATTAAAAGCATACTTTCATATCATGAAGGTAAAATATTTCGAATGAATCAAGGACGTGTTTCTTTCTCTTTTTTTCTCATTCAGTCGTACACTTTACACAGATACATTTTTAAAAAGACCTAACTTAACAAGTCTTAACTTGGTTCTACTTGTCTGTCCACTTCAGTATGAGTGTGTGGGAATGTTGTGATCAGCTGCAGCCTCTGACTCTAATGAATCTGCACAGTTAAACCTCCATTTAATTGGATGATGAGATGTGGCAAAACATGTTTTTGAATACAAAGAAGATTACATGTAACAAATCCAATACAAGCTTATTCACAGACTGCATGTAACCCCAGCTACTTTATAATAATCCTATGTATTATGCCTGAAATGTGACATTAGCTGTGGCACTTACAGTAATCTTATGCGGTCGTGCCCTAAAATGTTATCTTTTTGGGCATCAGTGCAAAGTAAGATAAAAAAAGTGTTTGGGAAAGATATACCTTCTAATCCATATCACTTTGTTTGGATTCAAATTATGAACGTAGAAATTGGCACATTATTGGAATTGCTCTGGATGCTGCAAGCCTCACAATATTCTGACATTTTATTACGGTTTGAAAAACTGATGTGCATTTAGCCATTGGAGAGGTTATCACACGTGCTGCGAGGAACTGAGTCTGTGAGGAACTAGTCCCCAACTGCCCTTACATGAAAGAGGAATGGTCCAGTGTTTATTACTGTGGTTGTAAATATAACAGAATAAGTATTCACACATGAGTTCTGCACTAGGTTTTTATTGCTGCTATTTGTTTGTTTTGTTGTTGTTTTTTTCCTCGTCTGTTTTTGTTTTGTGGGTTTTATTACATTTTGTTGTTTTGTCCTAAATGTTTTGGTTTTGTATCGCCTCGTAACTTCTGTGTGGTGTTTCCTCGCTCAGGTCTTTGCAGATACCCCTCCTCACTACTCCCTCCTCAGAGCACAAACAAAGGAACTGGAACATCATTCATAGAGAGCAGAGAAGGAAAAAAGCTACACTTGTAGTATGCAGAACAACTTGTAGGCCAACACATTTTGTCTTCTGGTCCTCATCAGGGTCATTATAATAAAAAGAAAACATGTAAAGACGAACATGAAAATACTTCACTATTTTGTACCGAAAGCTCAAACATGTCTCACAAAAGGTGTACTAATAAAAAGCACTATACATTTTTTGTGTTAAATATCACTAAGTTTGTTTGGCACGCACTTACCTAATGTTTTCAGGAGTTCATTGACAGCAGCAGTTTTATATTCTGGGATGTTTTTATTTTAAAGTCCACCCTGAAAGAAAGAGAAGTAGCATCATTAAAACCTCTGTTTTACGTGCAGTTTAGACAGTTATTTAATAAATCTTACAAATCCTCAGAGACCCTCACGTCCTAATCAAAGCACAACATTCAACTGTAGATAAAGCTAAGAAGAGACACCTTTAAATAAGATGGACCAGTTGTTCATCCTCTCCAGAAGATCAATATTTTATCTTGGAGAAGTTAAGATAGATAGTTAGATGTTAACAAGCCTATAGCCAAGGCTTTAGTACCTCCAGGGGCCGCTGGAGCACTGAGAGCTCAGGGCCCCTCAACCCACGTACCAACACGCAACAACACGCCTACCTAACATGACCAATATTTTACATTTTCATTCAATCTGGCATGTCAATCGCATACCTATTTGTCAAAGCAGGGACGCAGCTACATAGTTCAACCAAAGTAGGTCTAGCCTTTTGCCCTTTCAGTCAAAAATCACAAGGCAAGGATACAATGGATAAGATCTCAAGAAGAAGACCTAGGTAATATCACCCCACTTAAAATGCCAAAATATGACTGGCTGGCTGTACAAGTACACAAGGAGTTCTATTTGTCACCAACATCAACATGTATTGAAAGTACGTGGTTGCTCAACTAAGTGATCAGTATATGTGATAGAAGATATTATTGTGTGTGTGTGTGTGTGTGTGTGTGTGTGTGTGTGTGTGAGAGGGAGAGAGAGAGAGAGAGTGTGTGTGTATGTGAGAGGGAGAGAGAGAGAGTGAGCGTGTGTGTGTGTGTGTGTGTGTGCGTCACTGTGCCTTGTGGTTGCTGGCCTAATTCGTCACTTTTAGCTTTTTTGAAAAAGCTATTTATTGTTGGAAAATGTTTGAATGCAGCTGCCACTCTCTCTTCCTTTTCTTTCTTTTCTTTTCTTTTCGCTGCCCTGCTGGGCGTTTGGCTGCTACCTGCACCATCCATTTTTTCAGCTCACGTGACACAATGTCAATGTGACACTAGTGAAGGTGGGGTTGTGATTCGGCTATAGTTCAATACTGAAATAATGTAGCACGAAGCACAGTATTTGTTACAGGCAAAATATGCGAAAATAATCTGAATTAAAGCTGCGAGCAGCGATGAGCGGGTCTTTGACGCTCCGCGCAGGGTCGCTGTTGTCCGCACGTCGATGTCACGCAGATATTTTCCGGACTCGGTCGTAAGCAAACGTGGGAAGTTTCAGATCCATCAGACAATGTACATGGGAGGTACAGCAGTGAAATAAACATTGTGTTTGATGGCGAGTGATCTGTCGCCATGGCAACAGCATTTGATGAAACCCCTAGTAGGCCTAGATGTCTTGAGGGCTGCACCATCATTAAACATGTGAAGTTTTGGGCCGTTTGGAGCATGTTCACTTGAGTTATGGGAAAACTGTGTTTCATGGCGAGTGATCTGTCGCCATGGCAACGGTATATGATGACACCCCATAATAGGCTTAGATGACTTGAGGTCTGCATTGTTATCAAACATGTGAAGTTTTCGGCCGTTTGGAGCATGTTCAATGGAGTTATGAGAAAACCGTGTTTCATGGCGAGTGATCTGTCGCCATGGCAACGGCATTTGACGAAATCTCAAAAATTAAACGTATATGTCTTTAGCACACATGTGAAGTTTGACCAGTTTATGACCATTTTCATAGGAGTTATGGCAATATTGTGTTTAACGGCAAGGGATGCGTTGTCAAGGCAACAGCTTTTGAGGAAAACTCACAAGTGGCACATAGACATGTTGCGGTCCAGATCATTAGCCATCATCTGAAGTATGGCGCCGTTTGGACGATTTTCCTTTGAGTTGCGACAATATCGTGTTTTATAGCGTTGGAGTTATGACATCATAGTGTTCCATGGCGAGGGATGGCCTAGCATCGAGCGAACGTGAAAATGGGCGCTGCATAACGACTACGCCGTGCGGTGAAATATTGCGATTTTTCATCCCCCATGTCTTGAGACGCTACCCGCCGAATTTAGAGTCGATCGGATAAAATCCCTAGGAGAAGATGTACGGAGGGCAAAATTCAAAATGGCCGACTTCCTGTACGTTCCTGGACTTCCTGGAAGCTTTTTGGTTAGTCTCCACACCCTAGATATACGTAGCGATTTTCGTTCGTTTACGTGAAAGTGGGTGGAGATTACGTTAAAACGGAAGTGGGCTTGCATATTTTTTTTTGCAAAGTTCCGGAACCCATTTCACACGCTGCGTCACGTCACTAGGCCACCTATCTGTTGTCATGGTGTCGGAACCTTTTGCTGTGCTTTTGCCGGTCGTTTTCCCTGTTTTGTGTGTGTTGGCGAGCAATTACAATAGGGTCTTCGCCGACCTCTGGTCTCAGACCCTAATTAAGGATTGTGGTTACGCAGTGTCCAATAAACCATTGTTGCAATTTCAGTCAAAATAATCACATTTCATTATTTTTTTCTAATTTGTGCAGCCCTCATAATTAAAAAGATGCAGTGTTGAGTGATGTTTCTTATGTCATTTCACATATTAATCTAGTTGCCAGCATAGTGAACCTGGAAATGTTGAGTACCCCAAAGTTTATGTTAGAAATGTACAGTACGGGTCCCCAGCACATAGAAACTGCCAGATGTTAACTTTCATATGTTGGGCAATTTGCACAATTAGCATAAATTGCATTAATAAGCATCAATGGCAATAGTAAAACAATTACTTGGCTGATTTGGACAATTTAGGAGTGGTTCTGGGGGTAATTGAGGATGCTGAATCAATTTCTGACATTTTCAGGATGAAAAATGGCAGCTTTAACCAGAAAGTGGTCATATCTGTCCAATCCAAATGATCTAGGGTCAACTTCAAAATCGACCAAAAAATAATCAAAAACAGCCCTTTTGAGCCTGCAAATACTTCTTTTTTTACTTCAAATTCTTTCTGGTTAAAACAATTTTTGATCCTGAAAATGTCAGAAATGGAATCAGCATCCTTAATAACTCACAAAACCACTCCAAAATGTTCCAAATCAGCCAAGCCACTGAAACGATTGTCTGCATAGGCTATAATGTAGTTCAATGCTAGTTAACTCAACTTATGCTAATTGTGCAAATTGCCCAACATATGCAAGTTTGGGGTACTCCACATTTCCAGGTTCACACTAGGACTCTGAGTGGCAACTAAACCATATGTAATGTTGTGTATGTACAGACTATGGTTGTGTCCTAACAATGATCCTCTATGACAGATATGGGGTGTTTCTCAATGTCAAGGAAGGATGCTCCAGAGCCACTATTTCAAGGATGCTATGTCATCGAGTCCCGCCGAAGGACTGTTCCAATGTCCAGGCTCCTTGGAATTCTACCGAGCCCGGCGTCCTTCGCAGCGAGACATTTCGAGGCTGCACATGTGTATCCTCCGCGGTCTTAAAATCCCCACAATGCTTTGAGCACGGACCAATTTCCAAAATCTCCATTTAAGGCGGGGCCTCGCATATGACGCCCACCTGCACACCTGTTAGCCTGTTCCACCATTCTTCGTTTTCCGAGGCTAGGAAAGATTCTTGCCCCGCTTCTGAAGGGCCTGACTCGGAAGACATGTCCTACCAAGGAAGCGTCCTCGACATTGAGAAACAACCATGGTGACATGTATTTAACTGTTACGTTCCCTCCTGGACTAGGGGAACCAAAGGGATGTAACAACATATAAAATAACCAGGCGAGAGAAAAAAGGAGAGGAAACTGATTTGTGAAGCCACAAGATGGTCTTTTAATTAATCAAAGAAAAAGAGGCTCACCAGCCAATTTGCAAACTTACGACAAAACCAAAACAACTTTCTCATAACAGAAAGCGACAACAGTAAATCATAACAATACTCAGAACTTCTATAAGTTGCACTTCTCACGTAGACAACAACAAAACACTACTGCACAGATCATCCACTGCCATCCATGCAGCTCACAGGAGAAGGAAGAGAGCAACTGCAGCCTTTCTCAGGTCCTTTATGGAGGCCCTGATTGGGGATTGGGAGCACCAGAGGGAGAGGCTGCACCTGGAGGGAGACAATCACACACACACACACACACACACACACACACACACACACACACACACACACACACACACACACACACACACACACACACACACACACACACACACACACACACACACACACACACACACACACACACACACACACACACCACACACACACACACACACACACACACACACACACACACACACACACACACACACACACACACACACACACACACACACACACACACACACACACACACACACACACACACACACACACACACACACCTCCAGACAGTGATGTTCAGCAGACGGAGGCATTATCCTCTTCCCTCCCTCATTCTCAGAGCACAGGCGGTGGCATGACCGCTGGTTGTCATGGAAACCACTGGGTAATTGCTCTCTGTGGGAGGGTGGATGAGGAGCTGACCTCTCCGGGGGGCAGCAGTGTTCTCCCACCTCGCCCACCACGGCTGTAACACCCTGCCCTTTACCATCCACTGAAAGCAGACTGGTGGAGAGTCAAGGGGAGAGAGTGATTATAAAATCACTATTTTATTTTTGGTATCTTCTATTGAGGTTGATTTTATCCAAGTTTGATGCTATGAAATTATCATGTGTAAATGTTTATTTTCAGTGAATGAGGACTATTTCTTCATCTGCTAATACCAGAAGAAAAAGATCTCTCCTTTAGCAACATCTCTTAGATCTCTACACATTTTATGTTAAAACAAAAACAAATCCCGATGCATGAAATGTTTTCAACCTTTCAACTCTGCTCTCCCCTACTTGATCTGAAATGGTTGCGTATGGCCAATCTTTTTTTTTGTATTAGCATAGGTAATGCCCTTTAACACTTTTTAAGGGCATGTGTTGTGCAGTGTGCAAATAGTCTGGCACATGCCCAGGAATTTACACAAAGAGAGAGAGTAATGCCACCAAAATAAGGCAGAGTTATTGTTAGGAAAATATCACTCGTCACCG